TTTTATTTATTGCAACGTTTATCGGGTGTTGTTAAAAACTCACTCTATTGCAACATTTAATGGTCGTTGCTAATACTTAGATTATATAATCTTCCGCAACATTCGCTTAATGTTGCAAAAGGTTTACCTTTTTGCAACGTTTATTAAACGTTGTTAATATGGACAAATTCGCAACGTTTGTTCAACGTTGCTAATAATTTAAAATAGGCTAACCTTTTGCAATGTTTATAAAACATTGCAAAAATAGTCCGGCCCACTTAGTTAAAAATACCTAATTCACAACCCGACCCACCTAGTTAAAAATAAAAATTGAAAAAAAAAAAAGGAACGAATTAATAACAGTACAGAGACCCTAAACCCCCAAATCCCTAATTCTCGCTCGCTCTCGCCCTCCCCTCAAATCCCTCTCCCCTTCCCTCAAATCCCGTGTGAAATTAATATCAGTCAGATTTATTTGATTTTCTTGGTAGGCATCCCTTTGATTTGGATTTTCTTAACCTCAGTTTTCTCTTAGGATAACAAATCGCTCGATAAGTGACCAAGTAAAACTTTTACATTGTCTAAACTACCCAGACGTCTTGAGCTCACGTATTTCCACAGTATTAGAAAGTGCCATAGGTGGTTGAATCGAAGCTCTTATCTGGTTCTTCATATAATAACACTCATGAGTTACTCTGTTTTACTAGGGACTTGACTTTGTTGTCGATGCTGGTGTTAGAGTGGTTGTTTCGTCGACATAGTGGACACGATCGGAGATTCTCCTCGAGTTGTACGACAACGAAAGGTAACATACAAATTTGCCAGAAATTATCTGGAACTTGTGGAGGTAAAAGGCTAGACTTTATTGGAACATGTGTCTCCTTCACATGCCTAGAAGAATACTAATACTCTGGAAATTTCTAGTTTGGCAACATTTATGCTAGTTAGATCATTTCTATTAAAATGCCTGATTATTATCTTGTCTTCAATGAAATATGTATTCAATTTCTAATCAATGAGTGAGATATACCAAGTTTTGAAATTGTTTTTGAATCGGTTGTTTCTTTTCTCAGGCAATGCCTGAATGAATTATATCTAAATGTTGTACCGATTGAAAAGTGAATTTCGTTTACAATTATCCTTGCTTGTAAAAATGATTGCATTAGTTTGGTTAGCATGTTGTACTAGGATGTTGTCACAATTTTTGCCTATGGAGGTCTTGAACTCGTGTAAATGTATCATGCCCACTTATCTAATGGACCTAGATGGTGTGGTGCTTGACCTTGTGTTCAATGTTAAAGAAGTTGATTGGAATGGATTAAAATCACAGGGTTAATTTACCAAAGAAATGAAAATGACAGAAAGAATATGACCAAACGATTGTGCTGTTGGTGAAAGAATACAATATGGTTTGAGGCCATTAAGATGTGTTAATTTCTGTAAGTTTGAGTATCTGTGTGTGCATCACTATCTTGTTTGTCTTTTATATCTCTCTCTATAGATACATATTAGAGACAAACTACTGTGAATTTATGATTTCCGGTAAAAATTAAAAATAATTGCTTTTTTTTTTCTCATCCCTTAACCTTTTTTAACCTTCTTAACTTTTTGATTTTCTAATTGTTTTATTGTTTCGTATTTGCAATTAAAGGACAAAACTTTGTAACATTTACCTACGGTTCCTTAATCAATTTCATTGCTTTTTACCTAATCCAAAACACATAATCAGACAAAACAACAATGCCAACAATACACTTCTAAACAAACATAGGAAAGTCAGTTGATGAATACGACTCTCATGTTTTCTTTATCTTCATTTCGTTGCTCATCTGTGGTGAAACTTAATACTAGATTGTGTGTTTTTCATGCAGGCAATCTTTGCTAGTGACGAAGGAAAGTCAGTTGATGAATGCTTTTACTCCTCAAGTTTTTGTATCATACATAATTAAAAGTTTATTCAATATAAATTTAGTTTGGAGTATACTAATTAAAAAAATATTTTCTAGTTATCATGAATTTGTAGTCACGCCAAGGAAGTGGTGTCCAATGAGGTATTGCACATGTGAAAAATGTTAGGTGTCAACTATTGCATTTGTACAAGTTTGAGGAGGAAGAAGTTGTAGCAGAAGGGAGCATTGCAACAACAGACCCAAGTTCAAAGATGCATCACTTGCCACTCGGAAGAGACTGTTGGAAGGTTCGGGTTGAAGAAGTGTATATGGATCAATTAACCTTGTACAGACCTACGGATGAAATTCGAACTCTTCGCGAAGCCGTGGGAAGTACTGTTGCTTGGCCAAAGAGTAGTATTAGNAGGAAAACAAAGAAAAAATAGATAAAGAATCATGTTATTGACTGATGATGTTGATAATGTTAAAGAGATTGGCCACGAAAGTACAGTTACTCGGCCAAAGAGCAGTATAAGACTTCTTTGATGAAGGTATGTTTCCTACATTGACATCTACAAAAGGAAAACAGAGAAAAAATAGATAAAGAATCATGTTTTTGATTGATGATATGGATAGTGTTAAAGAGATTGGCTGCAATGATGATTTCCACTATTTTATTGACCGATGATAGTGATACTATTAAAGAGATTGGTTGCGATGATCATTTTGTTTGCTTGTTAATTGCATTCTCTCATTTTTAATGTTTATGAGCTACATAGATGAAGTAGAGAATATGTATTTCCTTTATTTAATCTCAACATTTGCTTTTTATTAATTTTGCCTTCTGTGTTTGGGTGTTGAAGGTAAAAACTAAGACTAAGGTTGGCACAAAAAAAAGGTGAGTTCATATTTCATTTGTGTCCAAAAACTTAATGTCGTGAATTTAATTTATATTTTTCTTCCCAAGTCATTGAAGAGGAGGGTGCTGCAGTTTTCGTTCCTTGATATAATTATTCCTATAATGATTCTATCTTGTGTGAATGGAAGTGATGATACGGAAAAGAAATTAAGCTGGTTTAATATTTTGGCCATTATATTGCATAATTTTTCTTAACTTTATGCTTAAAAAATAATCTCTCTCTCCTTAAAAATAGTATGATTTTGGTTTGCAGAGTAAGAAACCTTGGAAGGAGGTCTAAGATCAACGAGGCAGTGTATGGCTCCTCAAAGCCTTCCTTGCAGTAGGACAGTTTCGAGTAACTGTCCACCACAAGGCTATTAGCGTTAGTGAATTTTGAAATGCCCAAAAGGGTTTTGGTCATAAACACTACGCACGGTATAAATAAGATCAAATCCTTGTTATTCTCCTTGTTGGAAAACTTTTTTGTGCACAAACTTCAAATGACATTTATCTAAAGTGTGAAATATGAACTTAGTCTTCTTAGTCTTCAAATGACATTCATTTTCTCATTTTTAATGTTTGCTTTTTTTTTTTTTTGTACATCTATTGTGCCTTTTTCTCGAAGCTATTGTTTACTTCAGAAATGTTTATAAAATATATTTATTAAATAATGTTTATTTTATTTTTCTTGTACACATGATATTGTTTACTAAATTTGCGTATTTTACAATCAAAATATATTTAAATATATTGGTTAGTATAAAAATATAAAAATGACGATTAAAAAAAAGATATTGGGCAGCATTTATAAAATGTTGCAAAAGAGGAACGACAACATTTAAAAAACGTTGCAAAAAATTCATCACAAAAGTAACGACAACACTTTAACTAAAACCTTACGACAACACTTAGAAAACGTTGCAAATACGTTAAGGCAACATTTTTAAAACCTTGCCAAAGAAAAGTTTCGACAACGTTTAATAAACGTTGCAAATGACTTTTCGCAACGTTTTTAAAATGTTGCAAAAACTAAATGGTAACGTTCGGATTTGCCTTTTGCTACGGTGTATAAATATTGTCGTATCGTTTTATTCTACAGTAACACTAAAGCCCGCAACATACGCATAAACGTTGCAAAAGGTCTTTCGCAACGTATTTTGAACATTGCGAAAGACAATTTTTGTTGTAGTGTTATATATTTAGAATTGAATTCAATTAAATCTATCTTTAACTAAATAAGCAAAAATCTAGTTTTGAGTTATTAAATAAAAGTTACTAAAGCCATTAAAATAAAGCATTTAAAAGTGTTTGGGTAAACTTTGTTTTGAGTTCAAATATACTTACCTACTGTTATTCAATGAATCTCCTAGTTGATAATATATATTCATATTAATGACCGATTTTTGTAAATGTTTCAACAATCTCTCACGAATAGTAATCAACGAAATTTCAAATCGCTATCATAGATAAGTAATATAATGATATATAGCATCGTCATACAGAGACTATATACTTAATTTAGTGTCAATTAATGCTAACTCTAATTGAATATTCAAATTATGTTTTACGAATTTATACTAATTAGCTAAATAAATTAACTAATGAGCAATTAAGAAAGCTTTTGTAAACTTGGTTTGAACATGCACTAAGATTTTGAATCCCCATTGTTAGTTCATTTTAATGCAATTCATTAATTCAATACCATGATAATATTTATTCATTCTTGTTGATCAATATTCTTAATTCGTTTGATAATTTATCTCGAGTAGAATTAAACTTATCATCTCATGTGACATTCCCATATTTTTATAAAAGATGCAAACATGAAAGTAAGCATTAAAATGTTAAAACACCTATTGAAATCATGAAAGTATGACAGTATTTCTCTATCATCTATCGGATCTCACAACAATTATTATAACGCTCTATCTTTTTTATTATTAATCTCGATAACGATTAAAATTACTTACTAATCAAATAATTGAAAAGCATTAAACCCAATAATAATCATCCAAGATAAATACATATTGAGCATGAATGTATTGAAAATTAGATTAAAACTTCGTCACAAGGGTTTATCTATGTCTTTGCAATGAAAAATCTAGCCTAACAATACAAAGTTAAAAGAATTCATATTTGGTTTGTAAACTATCACTCGGATTTGAGATGTGTTAAAAAAAAAGAGAGAGAGAAGCCACGAATTCTTGAATCTCTTCAATCATTTTTGTTTAATTTCTAACTACACCTTCCTCTTCTTTGCCTAAAAATCAAGACCGAACTTCAAAGGATGAACTTCTTGTATCTTTCCTTTTGATTTCTCTCAAAGAATGACGATTTAGCCTCACTTGGTTGCAAGATTTTAATGTATTGTATGATATGAGAGATACCTTGTAATGTTAGCTCATGTTCTGTACTCATAGAGATTGAAATTAGGTCAAATGCCATATGGAGTTTCAATCAAGAAGGAAATTGCCCCCGTCTGCCATAATTTGTGTTGTGCGATTTCACCTTATACTGGGCTTTTTTCGTTTTGGTCTCCAAGTTTCTTCATCCTTCATCTTGGGTCCCTTTTTTATCATTTGTCTTCTAATATTATTTTACAATTTAGTTCTTTAACTTCGAAATTCTTCTATCGTCATTCTTTGACCGATTATCACTTATTTTGATGAAAAGTCATCCAAACATACTTATCCTACAATAATCTATATTTAACCATATTAAGTAGCAATCCAATCAATTCCACTTTCAAATATTTACTTTTGATGGCCCGAATAGGTATAAAATTACACATATCAAGTATAGTCGAACATATTTTTAGGTATGACTATCCAATATCTCCCATGAAGATTAAGCATACTTAAAAATACATTAAGAACAGCCAAATATTACGTAGCAGTCCCACATACCTTAGCAATAAATTTCTATCCTCTATTGGAATCTATATTGCTTGTTATTAGAGCTAAAAACGTATTTCACCTCTCAGTAATATTTCAATTGACAATTCATCATAATATTTTCCAAGACAAGCAAACCATGAAAACAATAACAAATAATCAGTCCTGAATTCATACTTTTAAACCAAACATAAAATTTGAATTATGGCTTAAAAATGAAAATCACATCATCGACCTAGCAAATAAAAATTTAGCTACCCATGTTTGAAGAATACAAATAAATTTTAATTGCAGTCATGACCTCGAATCTTTCAAATATTTGAATAGTTTATATTAACCTTTCATTTGTTGTACTCGTGATCCATAAACTTTCAATTGTGTGCTGCAAAAGGACATATGGATGGAAACCATCCATTTTTTGTTAGTTGATCAAAAAATTAAGTTTAATAGTAATTTTTAACAATTTCAAAGAGGGCAAAATAGCAATTTTATTATTAAAAAAAAACCCTAGATGACCTTTTAAGTGCGGAATAAAATATTTCATTCCTTATTCTCAGTAGGCTTTGTAAAATGTCGAATATACCATTTTCTTTAAATAAAACAAAATAAATAGAAGAAGAAAACAAAGAAATAATTACAATAATAAACTCATATTTTTTTTATAAAAAAAAGGTACAAGTGAGTCCCAAATAACTAATTAAAATATTAAAATTGAAAATAAAAAATATATTTCTCTCCCACCTACTCCATCTCCCTCCCACCGCCACTAACCATCAAATTACCTACAAATCCATCAACATGAGAAGTGCAGCAGTGCTTCATCAAGACTCCCCTCTCACCTCCACAAACTATACACCAAAACCTCTTCTTATATCCTTTACGGAGACTCCACTAAACTGCTATTTTTTTATGATTGAAGCATATAAAACATGTCATTACTTTTGTGAAAAAAGTAAAAATGAAGCTGGTGTATGTTTCAAGAACTTCGAGGATTTTGCAAAATAACTGAAATGAGGTTAAAATGGAACAATGGATAAATCTATGAATTGAGATTTTAGGTTCTTAGCGCAAAAAATGGGTGTAACGAATTCAAGAGCCGAGAAAGTGATGTTCTAAGATTATGCAAAGAAAGGAAAAGATTCCTCAAACAAACCATTGATTCAAGATGTGCTTTAGTAGCTGCACACATTTCATATGTTCAGGGCGTGTTCGGTAGAGATTAAAATTGAAAAACTAGACGTTATTGTTGACTTTTATTATACAAATTGGATCCAATAACGATTAAATTTTCAATTTTAATTAAATTTTAAACCTTATCAAACATGTTCTCAATCTCTGAGAAACTTAGGCATTGCATTTAGTAAATAGGGAGAATTGCAACCACGGTATCAAATTTTTTATTTTGTCTAAGATTTTATCCAAACTTTTTATTTATGTCATCCACGGTACCAAACTTCTTAAAAATTCGTGTCTGAAATCCAATTGGATGAAAACAATTAGTTTGACCGTTAATTAACTTCAAAAAATGATTTTGACCAAATCAACAAAGGACAAAATGATGACTTTAAAATTTTAACATAAAATAATTTTAAAATTCAATAAAAAAATAAAAGACCTACCACTGTTCACACCACTGCCCAACGACGAGACCAGCGCCACCCAACGTCGACACCACTGTTCCTCAAAAACACGTCCAGTCTTCAAACTATAGATCTGTCCAAGAAAGATTGCTCACATCTTAGGTGCCGGACTTGCTACAAAAGCCGAAGATTTTAGTGCTAAACCCACGTCAAGAGCATCTGGGTTCCGGCTGCTAAAAGGTTCAAGAGCGACTTTACCGCGAGTTTGCTCTAATTACTAATATAGTCGAATATGTAAAAAAAATTCTATTGGATCCAGAAATTCTTATGGAGTGGCGGAACACCTTCGTGCAGTGGCGTCGATATAGAAGTGGCACATTATCCTCCTATTCATCCTCCCTATTGGAGTTAGATTCTTGAAGATTATTCAACCAAAATCAAGATTTTCATTCACCATCTTTTCTTGATCTGAGTGATGTTTTTCCATATTATCTCGTATAATTTAATTAATAGGATGATAGGCTAGATTTTCTTTTGTGTTGGATGAATGATGAATCCTAAGATGTTATTCCTTCTTTCTCATATGAGGCTAGACTTGTAGTTTAATCCAAATCAAGATAATCTATGTAACCATAACTACAACATTCAATGACCAATTCACTCAAGAACTTTACTTACATGGACACACACAAGTTTC